GGGATGCAGTTCACTTTCATAAATAACTTCATCTGGTTAACAACTTAGAAGAATATCTTGCCCACTCAACATAATAAACCTGACTCATATGAGCTTACTTGCATCCATTTCAACAGGTGTAAGCAACATGAAATTATTATCTAAAGTATAAAAAAAACCCCATAATGATTCACTCAATAGATAAGAATAAGGAAGCCTCACTCAGACATCATTTCACAGTAAAACCAGCAAAGAGAACTGAAAACTGCTTTGCAAATCATTGGTGTCAGGAAAAAAAAAAAACAATGACAATTTACGTCTGCTCAGCAAAACCAGTTGATCCGTCCTAGTCATCTAGGGACACTAAACTCAACTCTGAGATAGAATCAAGTTATTAAACAATGTGGCAATAAAAATCAGCTCGCATCTGATTCCACATCAGAAACTGGGAACATTAGATTGTAATACAACAGGACTCACAACTACTGCACCTTGTAAGAGAGGATTGTTTTGATTGATAATGTGCATAAACTACATCATAAAACATTGACTGGACTGTTTAATTTAGATTGATGACGGCAAGAATGTTAATTTCAACCACACACTTTCGATTTAGACTAGTAATGTACACATTTATTTTAAGGTGAGACAGAAGTTATTTATAATATGTTTATAAAATATGTTATAGCGGCAGCAAGCGTTTATTTTGGTCGGTTTCTGATGTGGTGAAATTCAGTCCGAGAGATTTGTGCTAACATGCTAAGACTGCTGGAGCCGGGGGAAAACTACTCAATATCACTTTATATTTAAGGAGCAAAACATTATTGGCACAGTTATGGGCTACATGTGAATAAAACGACCCATATCACACAACGCATCTCGTTTAATATCTCTTCGTGCATTTTTGCAGTGAATTAACGGTCCTTATCAACAGTGTCTGTTAGCGCGCTCGTTTAGCCGCCTACCTTCACACACCCGCCAGAAAAACCCGACAAACTTTAGCGTGTTCAGCTGCAGTCAACCTCAATCCCTTTTCTCCTCAGCAGACTGGGTCATTCCACGAAACAGCACCTGCGGCTGACACGAAACGAGCTTTGGGACAGGAAAAACACGGCTCTGCTGCCCTCAATGCGAACTCACGAGCCTCTCACGTAACGCGCCTGTCACTCACAGACTCAGCGCTCCAGCGCGAGCTCAGCTAGCGCCGCGATTTAGCGCAGAGTCTCGTGACAGCTTCCGGTGTCGGACTGAATCATGGGCCGCCACCTGACAAAACAAAGAAACAAAGGTACGATTTACTTGTGTAATAAGGTTAAACTCTGATCAAACCCTATTCTTAACCCTAACCTCCCTAACCTCATAAATATACACCAGAAATATGCAGCATTGGGTTCTGAATTCAATGCACTAGATGCCCCCCCCCCACAATTAAATTTAAATGCATCTTTCACACTTGCACAAACATGACAATTAATTTTGTATGAATTGTTTTTTTTTGTTTTTTTTTATTCATGTAATTGG